TATTATAATAGTAGTATTACTATTGTATAACTTTTATTAGCAGGCAATGGCGATACATTACACTAATAAGAATGCTACTTGCTCTTTTACGATCGTACTCACATATACGATATATATAACTGCCTTTTCATAAATTGGACATGGGCATGCTAACATTGCTAAGATTGGCCGTAAACATACGTAATGCAGACAAAGTCACGAAGATCGGAAAAAATTCTACTGAACTTGGAAACAGCCCACCCAACGACGACGACACATTTTTTGGCACTTGGTCTGACATGGCTCCTGACATGAAAAATATATTCAGATGTCTTCTGAGTTCTGACATGAGAAATATATTTCAATTGCATTTTCTAAATTGGGTATGGCATGCGCTGATCGACTCACTAAAAAAAGAAAAAAAACAGCGCGAGACCGCTGCAAACTTACTACAACACACAGATCTCTCCGGCAGTTGAAGAACGTCCAGTCAACGACAACGGCACAATTAGCACTTGGTCTGAAATCAGTGAGATGGCATCTGACTGTGGCGGCGGCACTGACACCTAACTGTGGCGGTGTGTGACACGGCGGTGTGTGACACTGGCTGTCAGTTAAGGAACTTAAACCACCAGTACTTCCTGAAAACGCTCCCGTATACGCGGAGCGAAATTTGGAATGAACGGGCCTGGGCCGGTAGGCCCGATTCAGCCAAGTGGAAACGGCGCGGTTTCCACTTTTGGCTGGCCGTATACGCGGAGCGAATTCAGGAAGTACTGGTGGTTTAAGGCTCTTTCTTACTGACAGCTGTGCTCCACAGTACACTGCCCATGTGTGATTCATTGACTGGCAGTGCTTAGGAGTTGGTAGTGATTACTAATCCATTACCCATCTATACACAGTATTACACACACCTGAGGTACATGAGCTGCATAGATGATCGACCGTTCAGATGGTCAGAATGGTCCATCGCCGATGCAAATCATGCCCCTCAAGGGATGTGAAAGCAGGATGGGTCAAGCAAGGAGGGAGAGAGAGAGAGAGAGAGAGAGAGAGAGAGAGAGAGAGAGAGAGAGAGAGAGAGAGAGAGAGAGATTAAGTTAGAGGAGCTGTTATAAAGTTGTGTAAGGAAGTCCCTAAGTTCAGTCTGCGGAACCGTATATTGGATATTGGAATAGGCAGAGGAGCATCGGGAGTGTAGTAAAAGAAATCAAGTACTGTTCAGATGAATGGAAACAGAGGATTTGGTTTCGNTTGGTTTCGGAACGGGACCACCTTGACCACCCCAGGGGGGGGGGGGGGGAGGAGGAGGATGAAAAAGGGAAAAGAACTGATAATTGGGAAGAATGGAGAAACAAGAAAAATGTATACTGATAATTGGGATATACTGCCATCATCTACAAGCTTTGGCAATTACAAACGTCCGTCTTCCCCATTGCCAACATAGCTGTATCTGGGCTGTAAATTGCCCTGAATAAAAAGCGACAATGACATGGATTTTGTTTGTGGGAAGACAGTTGGTACTACGTAGTGTCGGGTCAGCCTAAGGGGAGTAGAGGACAACCAGTTATATATACCGGTCTCCACATGAAGAGAAGGAAACAGCAAAGAAAGTTTAAGAAACACAATAGACGTCACCCTATACCGATAAGTAACACAAGGTAAACACTACAGAATTGGACATACTCGCACTGCGACTCTTCTGGACGTAACTGAACTTCTCTCAAGGCAATGTCATCCAACTTCATTCCAGAAAGTGCAGACGTATGACGCTTCACGCCTTCGGCCTAAAGGTGTAGTCTTGTGTCAGCATAGCCTTTTGTCAGTATGCCACTCAAGTAGGAATGCAGAAATAATGGAGACTCAGAGACTGAGAACCGGTGCTGTAATGTCGTGAGATGGAATAGCATCACAGCAGACAGCATATTAGATGCATCACCCTCGAACAGCTTCGGCAGGGATATCTCTATCTATATCTATATATTCTACTAAAGGAAAAACCGGGTCTCACATGACGCCGGCGCGAGACCCGGTGTCCAGGTTTGGGACCTCGGGTGGCGGGCCCAGGCCGAAAAAAACAAAAGAAGATATGAAAATCGCGACCGCCGGGCCTAGAAACAGGCGCGGGCCGGGGACGGCTGCCGACCGTCGGGCATACGAACCGGCGCGGGCTGCGGAGGCCTGCTTTGCGGGCCTACGAACGGGCGCGGCCTGTGGAGGCTTGCTTCGCGGCCATCGGGCCCGTTGCCCGTCCATCTTGCGCCCGCCCACTGTCGCGCTGCTTCGCCTTGTGTTAATTACAGAAAACTTGGAAAAGCATGCAGGCACCAATGGGCTTACCTCAGCTTGGGTGCACCCACAAACTGTTGAAATGCAGACCTGAGTTCGAATCCAGATGGAAACAGGTCAACCCAATTCCTGAATTACCTGGGCCCAGTCAACTTCACAACGATATCTCGTGAAGTAACCTGTCGCCCTTTTAAAAAGAGAGAGGGAAGAAAGGGACAAAAGAGTAGCAAATCATTCAGGCAAAAGGGAAGGGATAAGATGAGCTAACCTCAGTGTGGAAGGTCCATAGCAACAGAGGATGGAGGGCAGTTGAGCAGGCAGAGGTTCTGCTAAACCCCACTAGCAACGTTAGGGAGGGGGCCCAAAGGTAAGCCGGCAGGCCACTAGTCCGCTCAGGTTGATGCTTTTTTTCCAAGCACAGGAACAGCATCAGTGAGGCCTGCCACTTAGAACCAGGGTTGACCATCAACTAAACCAAGTCTTGCCCTGGTTCAGGGAGGAGGGGGGGAGAGGAGGGGGGGGGGGACGGCGGGGGGCGGCAAAGGTAAGCCGGGCCACTGATAACGTACGGATTCAGGGGGTGCCATGCCGTTGCCGTTTGCAAAGCCATCAAGCTCTTGGCGTCAGCAGCGCGCAAACCACCGTCTTCACCCCGAATAGAACGCCTGGTCATTGTGTCAGACTGAAGGAGACAACGACCAAGTTCTTCGGTTCGAGTCCGGGCTATAAACAAACAAACAAACAAAAAGAATGCCTGGTCAGTATAGCTGTATTTGGGGCCACTTCCAGTCTACATGCAGTGATAATGACCGGGCGTTCTATTCGGGCGAGAAGACGGGAAGCAGGCAAGTCGGCAGACAGGCATGTAGAGAACAGGCAAGGAGGAAAGCTGGCTGCCTAGCAGGTTGGCTGGCAGGCTGGAAAGCTGACTGGCAGATTGGCAGGCTGACAGGCAGGCTGGGCGGGATGGGTCGCTGGAGGGCAAGTCCGTTTTTTCTTACTTCCATTGCATCGGCCCCCAACTTGGGGGCAACGATCACCAATGTCTGCAAGTCAAGAAAGTAGTCCGTTTTTTCTTACTTCCATTGCATTGGCCCCCAACTTGGGGGCAACGATCACCAATGTCTCTTAATATACGTGAGCATATATAATATACGTTGGCAAAAGAAAAGCCCAAGAAAAGCCCCGAATGCGCAGTCCAGGGATGCACGTTACGCATACTAATAATGGCAGGCAGGTACAAACAGGCAAGCAGGGAAGCAGGCAGGCAGGCAGGCAGGCAGGCAGGCAGGCAGGCAGGCAGGCAGGCAGGCAGGCAGGCAGGCAGGCAGGCAAGCAAGCAGGCAGGCAGGCAGATTTGCAGATAGGCAGGCAGGCAGGCTGCTGGGAAGACAAGAAAAGCAGTACTCTTGGCTTGGGGTTTAGGCGTTGATACTGGTACTGAGTCTACTGACTGATAGTGCTGGCAGAAAAGGGAAGAAGTACTGATCATTGGCTCTCAAGGAAGGAGGACTATTTGTTTTGGAGCTCAAGGAAGAAGTCCTTGCTATTGGGAGTCGAGAGCATACGTAGTGTTGGTCGCAAAGGGAAGACAGTACAAGTACCGTACTATTGGCCCAACTGAGCAATAGTTAGGCTTTGGGTTGAGGGTTAATCATGGGTCTGGTAACCATTGGTGCTGATAGGAGGCAGAGAGAGCGTACATAGTATCGGTCGCAAAGGGAAGACAGTACAAGTACTATTGGCCCAACTGAGCAATAGTTAGGCTTTGCGTTGGGGGTTAATCATGGTACTGGTGACTATTGGGGCTGATAGGAAGCAGCAAGCATGAGCAGAAATGATGTCGCTGGCCAGTTGGTTTCCAGTTGCCTCAGACTGACAAATGCTTGCTTGTTCACTTTGCGTTTGTGTGCAAATGCCCAGTGTCATGGCCGAGTTCCATGACATAGGATCAAGCGGCACAGACAGCATGTCTGTCCTCTTTGATGCCACATAGATGGGATTAATTACTTTTTCTCGGTGAGAAGGATGATGATGGAAACAAAATGCAGAAGTATGTCGATCGTCAGCGGCAACGATGGAAAGCATACACGATGTTGCTGATAGTCTGTGATGCGGCCGAACAGGCAGCAAGTCTATATTTTGACGACATACGTGAAGCCGATGTATATCGCTAATGCCTACATACTAATCCTGACAAACCTATTACATCAACCTGCTGCAGCCAAAGACTGCTTACTCCACAGGTCCCAGCTCCTTGCATCTTGTTTTGTAGACCAACCTTCACCAAAGTGCATCTCTACCGACTGTGCGGTCGCTCATCCACAGCCCACGTGCGCTCGCAGTCCTTGAGCAGGGAAATAGGTGCAGCAGCACACACGCGTTTTTTGCAGGGTGGGTCTGTATTACAGGCAGTATCATTGTCAGAGTCGCCCCGACGACTTCTCGGAAACTCACTCGTGTATCTCTTGTGTGCAGATCTCCGGCAGACGTAGAACATCTAATCGACAATCGTCCGTTTAGGCGGCGGATACAAGGCTCATGTGCTCTTGAGGGGTGGTAGAAGCGCACTGCCACCCTCGAGACGAGCCCTTTCGACTCCTCGACATCATCACTTTGCTGCAACGGAGTTCGAAAGTGGAGCAGACCCAGATCTGTAGTAGGCGCATGCCACCCATTCGGCATGCTAGAAAGGTGCAGCGTGATTCACGCCTTAATGCAAACTGTGAAAGAGCACGTCGGGAGCGAGACGATCTCTCCCGAGACCGTGCACGGCACACCTAGAGACGTGAGTGCGCCTCGTATAATCCCGCATGGGAAGTACAAGAACTGGGCCAGCGAGGCTGCTGTGACCTTGTTGTAATCATGGGGTGTGGTAATGGAAAGGTCCGCACCAGGAGGACGAGGAGGAGATGCGCCGGAAGAGGAGCTTGACGGGCCGGGAAGCATGCCTGCTGTTGCTGTGGGCAAAGAAGCTGGGTCAGCAGAAAGCCGTGTGAACCATCGAAACTTGTTGTCTTGAAGCACAAAAACACCCCGGTGGTTTGTGCGCAAATTGTCCACCTGTTTCCTAAAGACCTGAGCCCAGAAATCCTTGCAAACAAACTTTATAATCTCAATCAGATCCGTAAACCTGTTCCTGTCCTTTGTGTACCTCTCTGCCAACTGCTGTCCCACCTGGAATCCTATGGCTTCGATCCGACGGCCAGCAATATCCGGGCGATCACCAAGCCGTTGTGCGTACCCCGCAACCATCTCCATCTCCAGCAATTCCATGCAAGTTGCAGCAACTTCACGGGTCCCAGCCTGCACGGACGTCATGTCTCTAAATGTCTTCTGTTCCTGCTTTCACTATGTCAATTGCTGCTGTTGGATTGCTGAACACACCACTGCCAATTCTTGCCCCCCTCTCCCTC